GCAGGCCCTCGCCCGAGCCCCACAGCTTCCTGCCCCGGCGCTGGCCAAGGGCTGAGGCTCAGGCTCCTGCCAGGAGGACCGACCGGGAATCCTGGGAGAAGGATCACGGAGGGAGCCGGGTTCCCCAGCTGCTGAGGTTTGGCTTCGGGAGCTGGAGCTGATGGGCGGGAGCGCAACCCGAAACCCAGAGAGGGTAAGTGTGGCGTCGAAGGCCTCACAGCAGAGCAAAGGCAGCCGGAGGCGACCCCAAACCTCCGATTCTGACATGCTTTGGGGCCCCACCCCTGGAACTGTGGCCAGAGTGGGCTTAGGGAGGTGGGCGGATCTCTGTAAGGAAGCAGGCTTAGTGTCCTCCGTGGGGTCAGAAGGTGTTCGGGGACTAGCGGGTTGGTGCCCTCCTCCGGGTTCCTCTCCCTGGGGGCCTGACAGTGGTCCGCTGTCCGCCCTGCCTCTGTCTTCCGGACTGTGAGCTCTAAGAGCCCAGGCCCGGAAAGATCCAGTGCAGAAGAGCAGTACCCACCCCCCAGTTTCCAGCAGACCCGGCATCTCAATTTCAAGCGCGGCCTCTCTGTGGCCAGCACTCTGCCCCTTCCCGTTACACTATACCTGTCACCCTAGAAGGGACAGGGCAAACACAGGCAGGGCTCGAATGGGAGCCGGCTGCATGGGGCTGTGGGCCGAGTGTCAGCTGCTGCAGAGGCGGGCTGCGGGCCCCGGGTGGCTGGGCTGGGGAAGGGGCGGGCAGCAGGCTGAGGCGGCAGCAGGCCGAGGCGGCAGCGGCCGCACGCTGTTGGGCATCTGGCCTGCACGACAACAATGCCTCTGTTATTTCCCAGCGTCCGTGGCAACGGAAAGGCTCTTGGGGAGGGTGGTTCAGGCGGGAGACCCGGCCTGGGGTCCCCTGCTGAGAGGTGCGTGGGCGCTGAGAGGCATGTGCCTCTGGGGGGACTTGGCACCCCGCACCCTGCCACATCGCCCCCAGCCACCCGTGTGAGGCCCCATGGGGGCCTCCGCTCCAGCCAGGCCGGCACCGTCGCAAGCTACCCGGGGTCTGCGCCCTGGGCTTCCCCTTGACCCTTCCCGTCTCCGTGTCTCGCGGGCCGCAGACTCTCCGGACTTCCCTTCCTCGGCCCCCTTCATCCCGGCGGGTGCCTCGGTCCGCCTCTGCCGCCCGTGCGCTGCTCTCTTCGGCGTCCTCCTGCCCGCGCTGGCGGCCTCGGGAGCGCCGTGGCTCTTACCCCGAGTGCCGCCGA